TTTTCAGAAGCATTCTGGTGCATCGCTCCTATGAGAGGCACATGGAGCAGAGGTTTCCTCTGCAGAACAAAGCTTTTTTCACATGCTCAGTAAATAATGTGTATTTGCCCTTAAACCTTTATTTATCCCTGTGTAAACATGCAACATAGATCAACTTTAAAGGAAAAAAAAATCAAAGGACAGTTTTGAAACTTTTTTAAAAATACATCATTAAACACTTTTGAGTAATACATATAAACCATCTGAGGATCTAACTAAAGATTTATACAAAAAAACAATTATTATCCATAAGGATAGTTACAGTGCTATAGCTATACAAACACAATTTTGTTATAGGTGAAAATGTACATTACTGAGTTCTGGAAAAGTTCAGAGATTTTCAGCATAGAACAAAATTTACTTCTGGGGTGAGAGCCAACCCAGGATCTAGACACTCCTGACAATGTCTTTATTCTGCTAAGAGTTTACAAAGCAGAGAAACTAGATATATTGCAGGTGAAAGTCTCTGCTGTGCAGGGTCTTACACAGGTCTCTGCATTACATAAGTCCTACTTAAACACTATTTGAAAGTTGCACAAATATACTGCCGAGGCATGAAATTTCCCTTGGAAGAATTCCTCGAGCCCTTTGAAAAGGATGTACTTTGATAGCATCTATCACAGTGTCTCAAGCAATACATAAATCTTGCGCTGGCCTCTGCACAGAGGCGCCTATACCTTTCAGAGTCTCTCTCCTCTTTTGTACAAATGTCACAAAATCCTACAGTGTTTCACAGCTTGCATTATGCAGACTGGGTAAATACCACATATACCCAGATTTCAGCACAACCTGTAAACAACTTAATGAAATAAAGAGAATAAATGTGGGCATGAATATTTCACATTTTAGCTATCTACAACTCCTGGATGATGGCTGATTCCACTGAAATTGGTGGTGTTTCTGACCTTGGTGAGAAAGGGCCTCACCCCATGTTTCCAGCTTTTAGTAACTTGTCATCCAGCCCCATTTCCACCTTAGACTCCATTAGTGAGATTTCTCAGTGTAGGACTGTTCTCTTGAGGCCATCTCCTCTTCTCTCTGCGATGTTTATATAGCACAGATGTCTCCTTCCTGTTGCCCTTAGCGTTACACCACATGGTGGAAAGTTTGCTCAGGGTTCGGAATCCCTCCTCATGGCAAAAGTACAGGATTGCAGGGCACCCCAAAAAATCTGAGCCCCAAGAAATTCTGCTTGTCTATCCCTAGTTACCTTTACCTCCCAGATGCAGTCCCACAACTCCTGAATCTGCTTTCCCTCCATGGGGAAAATGACTTACTCCCAGCATAACCACAGCATTATCTCACACACAAGCAAAAGTCATCTCCCTTTTGATGCCTAACTCTACCCTACAATCAAAGAAATGAGGATACAACATATTCAACCTATGTTTATTTAACCTGTGCTTTACAATGAAGTAAAATACTCCCTGAAATACCTTTCTTCACTGACTACAAAAAGAAAAAAAAAAAGGAAAGAAAAAAACAGCGCTTAGCTATATGCAGCTTTAGTTTAGGTATATGTATTTGATTGAATAATATTAGACTATTGGTTCTCAGATTGCACATATGGCAATAAAGCTGTTTATGCTAAACCAGTGGGCGAACACCAGTCTATGAATTCCAGAAGACCACGGATTACTCCTCAGCAGCCCATGAAAAGTATAAAAGAAAAGCAAGTTCTTAAATATTATATAGCAATATACTTCTGTAAGATTTCTATGAAAAAGTAGAGACACAGAAATGATTTAAAGATATCACATATTTTTTATGATTATGATGATGATGTCATACTTTTTACTCCTCATATGTACATCATATATTAGAGTCAAAGAATCGTCCCAACCATGCTCATATTATTGCTGTTCTATATCACAAATTATAAATCTGTTTTCTGATGCAGTATTTTAACTCTTTAATCTTCAATTCATTCAAGGAATCCTTTCCTGTACTAGCCCATTAAGTGCCTCCTTGTAGTAGCCACTTCCTTTCTTCATGTTTTGACATCAGTAATCACTGTAAGGCACCTGTGTGTTTGGGTACCTATCTGTAGCCACAGAAATCAAAGAGTAGGACAGGTCTGCTCAGCTGAACTGATGGAGACATTTGAACAGTACAGTTTGAGATAACTTTACAAACTACCCAAAATGCCAATTTTTAGAAGATGAAGCATCCAAAGATGAGCAGCAGCACAAGGCTGTCATAATCACATCCATGGGGCAAAAAAAAAGAAGGAAAAAAGTGGTACTTGGGATCTGCATGAGTTTTCTGCCCTGGGCTAACTTTCATCCAAAGGAAACCACAAGATTGAAATGGTGAAAACTTTGTTTTATTTTCCTGTTTCTGCAGACCCTGGGTTTGAGCAGGCTCATTCTGTGGTTTGTTCACTGATTACAATGAGTTTTAGAAAGTGCTTAAGAAAAAAAATGACAATAGATTAAAAAATGCCTCATGTCTACTAATGGTCTCAAAAATGAGACACACATTATGAGTCGACCCCATAAATCCATCCCCAGGAAGAATTTATTTTGACTTCAGTTGGAAGGTCCCAGTGAAGAAGTTTCACAGAATTCATATCCTTCTTCCCCAAATAAGCTCTTCTGCAACAGCCTTAAAATCAAACCAAATGACTTCAGGGTATTTATTTTGTTCCTATTTCTCTCAGATAGACAGACTTACATAAAGACTGAAGAGACAGGAGGGCAGAGGGACATGCTCTTTTCACCTAGCACAAAATCCCAAGAGATTTTATCCAGACTTTCATTTTCTTCCTAGTTTTAATGTGGTGACCAGGTGCACCATGCAGCACACAGGGAGATGGGCATGGTGTTCGTGCCCCAATGCAGGCCACAGGCTGCCTGGCAGCATGGCCGTGTTCATCTGTTTGCCCCTGGAACACCATCCCAAGAGCCCAGTAACAAGCACCATGGGCTAATGGTGCCATGTGGACAGGCTTGAACCCATGGCCACGCATGGGGCACCCGCACTCTTCATTGCTCTTGCCATACATGTCGAGGGGAAAATGCTGGCCCTGCTGCGAACAGAACAGGCGTACATTAAAATTCATTATTGTTGCCAGCGAACGCGCTGACAGCTCTGCGCCGGTGTTGTCTGCATTTTAAAAAGCCTGTTTACCGGCTGCGAGGAGGGAGCGGAGAAGCCGGGGAGAGGTGGATGCCGTGACGGCTCCTCGGCCAACATGCCCTCCCCACACTACGGGACCTCCTCTGCCTCGGGAGCTGAAAAGAAGGAATTCGGCGGGTGAGATTTTGGAGGAAAGAAAATGGGGCTGAAAAGAAGGAATTCGGGGGGTGAGATTTTGGAGGAAAGAAAATGGGCCGCAAACGCCAGCATCCGAGCAGCAGGAGCACAAGCCTCTCGGTCCCTCTGCTAAGGGGCGCAGAAACGCGCGGAGGAGAGCGGAGCTCTGCTTCCCGGCCCCCATTTTAAGCGGCAGGGGCAGGCGGGGGGAGCTCACCGGCATAAACAAGCCGCGCAGGACCTCATTCCTCCCCCTCCCCTTCCTCCAGCTGGTTTTGCCCTGGCTCGCCTGTAAATCCAGCTCTGCTCGGCAACGCAACGACGGAAACGTGCTGCCGGCGCGACTGCTGGGGCTGCCCTTCCCTCGCTACGGAGCCGCTGCTGCTGCCCAGGCTGCCCTTCCCTCA